CAAAGAGCCCGAGAAACCCACAACAGCAATTAGATTATGGTAATACTGAGGATTATATATGATGTATCAGCATAGTACTGTACATCTAACCAGAAGAACTCGATATTTAAAACAGCTTGTTAGCCTCTCGAAATTCTCGCTTGGTTACCGTAGCGAGAAACAACCAATCGTCTGCAACCCCACAACAAAGATGGCTGCTACCCTTCCTGCTAGACTTCCAAGCCTTGACCACATTCAAAATGGCTGCAAATGCGTACGGTATATAGGGAATTTTCCATTTACCTCACTAAAGATGGCCCCCTGATAATTCCTTCCTTGGAGCTAACGAAAGCCTTGACACTTTGCCCAAGTTCAAAATGGCGCCTGCTCCCTCTTTATCCATACCAAAGTTACGAATTGTGGTCGAGTACTAAATATGGCCGCCACTAATTCTGGAGGGCGGATGAAGCTGCTTTCTACTTTGACCTTGCCCACACTTCACTTCAGGCGCTTTCTAGCTACAAGGGGGGGAAAAAGGCTGTCCTTATTTTTTTAAAAAATAATGTTTCTTCATTGGAACACGCATAGCCCTTCCGGGTGGAGAACGACAAGGTCATTCGTTTACCGCAGGCTCATAGTACAGAAAGTGGCAAAGCGATCGCCTTTCCCTTAATTAAGACGGCGGGCCCTTTGCTTCGCTATATCTTTGACCCCTTCAAACATGGTAGCTCCTGCAGCCAATGCCCATCATTTTCTGTCTGCGGCGGAGGGTGACGACGAATCGGATTGGCTCAGCCGCTGGGTTTGCCGCTCTCTGATTGGTCCTCCACCGCCTCTTTACATCCTACACATTCCTTCCCTGGTAGAAAAATAGAACACTTCCTGGTTTAGCTTGAGATGGAACGTGGAGCCGGGACGAGTAGGAGAAGAGAAAGGAAAAACAACGGGAGGGTGGAGAGTCAGGAGTAAAGGACGGAGAGATGAGGCAATGAGCTAGAGGAGGAGGAGGAGGAGGTTCGCGGAGAAAGGAATAATTGAGAAATGCTGTTAGGTTTGGGATTGCCAAGTAGGGAACGGTATTAGAAAATGGACGGAAATTGCTAATTATTATTATTATTTATCTACTTCCCATTTTTCACCTCTCAGACTGCCAGCAGCGTCTGTTTCTCCTCTGTGAAAACTTGTATGTTTCGGGCAAAGTTGGGGAGGGTGAGTTGAGTGCTTTTTTTTGAGGGGGGGGGCATTGCTGCAGTCTCCCCTGAATTAGTGTTATATTTTTTGCAGAAATTAGTACGGCTTCCTTCCTCACGCGTTGCAAGATTCATTTATCAGTGCGGTATGCAATTATTTAAAAGCCTCCTTTTTTCTCCCTTCTCCCCCGCTTTAAAAAGTGGTGCATGCACATGCTGGTATGAAATTAGGATAAGGGCTAAGCTCTTTTTAAGCCTTCAGGGGTGGTAATCTTGAGTTAAGCTGCTAAAGTATGTTGGAATGAAATTTCAAGACTACTGTTTTGGAATTGATATAGATCTATACTTTAAAACTGGCATCTAGAGGAAGTATAGGACCCAAGTCCTATACACAAATAGCACTTCTATGCTTCCTTCCTCTTTAGCATCACCTGAGTAACTAAAACTTCCACAGCATTCCTTCTACCATTTTTAACAGATTATTTCTTTTATGTCTTTGTGTTTTCCCTGATCCTTAAGTTTCAGGAAGCAGTTTCTTTAAGAATTCATCTGGTGGTGGTAGGGAGTTGCTTTTATGAGTCAGCCACTTTGGTGGAAATTTTAGAGGCAACACGGCTTCCTGAATAAAGTGTTTAAATTCATTGCCTAAAGGCCAAATTAATGCTTGAAAGCCAGGTTATCTGGCTGTGCATCTGAAGAAACACCTGTTTTCTGAAGCAATACAGGTTTTTTGGTTCTTTTAAAACCTTAAGTTATCTTTTAATTGCTTTTCCTCTTCCTTGTGCTATACTTACACATTGGGTTGATTCTTTCAGGCTTGTTCCAAATATGTAGTTGCTCAGTCAGGTTAGTGCTCATTCCTAGGAGCTTTTGTTTGTGACCCTGACAGATATTGTTCTCTTGTAGAAAAGCAAAAGTGGGAGGGGTGTTTTTCCATTTAAAAACCTGTTTGGTTTTACTGATACTACAGACCTTACTCAATGAAGAAAGGGAAGACTGTGGGAAACAGTTGAAGAGTTTACTAGTGCTGTGGAGACAGGGGTCTTTCTTTTGATCAGCCATTTAGCAGATTGAGCAAAATAGATGGCAATGAAAATATCTTAACTCCTGCTTTTCAAAATCGGGTGCTGTGGGGGAAAAGGTTAAGGGGGAAGGAAGAGGTGGTTGCAAACCCAGCTGTTTGGCAAGCTTTGCTATAGGGCAGAAAGAACAAAAACGCAAAGCTGGGGCTCCGCGGCGAGATGAACATAGTTCTGGGGGCATGTCAGGAAGGCTCAGAGACCCTACTCCATGGGGAGTTTGGCACCTATCCCCCCAAGGGGACCCGCTATGCTCTCAGCCTCACACAGACGGAGTTGCACATCCAACGCCTAGTGCCTAAGCCGGATACAGATCACCGAACAGTGCTGCGACTAATTGACGTAGTGGGGTGCCACACGAAGCGTAGTCAGACTGTTGCAAACAGCTCAGCCTTCTTCTGTGTCTATGCTTATCCGCTGAAGAAAAGGAAGGTAGCGGTGGGATCGAGCCGGTCCCGGCAGAGGGTAGCAAAAACTTTTCAGGTTGACAGTGCCGAGCATTATGAGGACAACCTTCGTGTGGCAGAGAAATGGGCAGTTGCCATCAGGTGCCTGGTGCTGGGTATTAACATCTCAAGTGAAACAGGTAAGAGATGCCCTCTATATGACTTTTCTAGTATTTATTCAGCCTGGGGTATATATTGGATAGATGTAGGGAATGTGTGGCCCCTTATATGTTGTGGTCCTGGATCTCCCAGCATTCCTCACCATTGGCTAGGTCCCAGGACATCTGGTAGCCACATGTTTCCCACCCTTGTAGGTCTTCTCTTCACCTCTCGAAGAAGCATGCAGTCAGCCAAGCAGCTGAAGGTCTGGATGACATTGTCTGGTGCGAAATGTGTGGTGCTTCAGATGCTTCTTGACTGCCAACTCCCATCCTCTTTAGTTGCCATGACCAGTGTTGAAAACATGATTGTCAGAACCCAGCAACCTCTTTAGATAGCTATGCTTTCCCCATTCCTGCACTTGAGGCTTTTTGTCTCCGTGCGATACCCACGGCCCAGCCATGGTGTTACGCTGCAAGATAATACAAGGGCAGCCATTCAGATTGTTCAGATCAGCAAAAAAGAAGAACAAACACTACTACTGCCAACTACCTGGGATTTGCTCCAGTGTATCAGAGGTTTGAATCCCCAGGTGTCCCACTTCTAATATCATGCTGATGACTCTCTAAGTTTGGTAATAGTAAGCTGTATCATTTCAGTGCTATGTTGGTGGAATCTGTTGCTGGACAAGCTGCTGACAGGTAGAAATATCAATTTAGGAAATAAGTGATTCCTTCTTCCTTCCCCAGCTATCCTGGTAAAATAGAAAGCCTGCTATAATGCTTCTGTGTTGATCCTCCAAAAGGGGACTTTAAACACTAGAGCAGAAAGGTGGCAACTTGGTTATCTGTTCAGGGGTTGGCACCTCTAAATGCCATCTCAGCACATAGTAATTCTCTGCATGGCAGTGTGCATTCAAGGCCCTTTGGACTTTATGAGCATCTCTTTTTCCTTCCTTGTTGTTCTTTCCAGGCCAATGTGCAAACTACCAGTTGTTTGGTTGCCCCTGGCAAAAAGTGTTACTAAGATGCAAACTTCCACTCCTGAGAAACTGCTTTTGTTTAAAACATGTGGGTGGAGTGTTAAACAAAAGACTTCTAGTCCTCATGATAACTAGAGAAATTCTGAACAATTTCTTGCTGTGCCGCACATTGTGGTAGCTTGCTCATACCCACAACCCCTCTAATTCCTGGGTGGAGAGCCTTTGATGTAGAGCTGTTGCCAACTGATGCCCTTCTTAACTCCTCATCCTACTGGCTGGGGCTGATGGGAGTTGGAATGCAGCACCTGATAGGTCACAGGCTACCCTGCCTGCCTTAACACACTTGGTCTAACTGTGCTCCCTTCTAAGGTGGAAACAGACTGGAGGGAGAGAACATATTTGTGAAAGACGTGTAGAATGATTGGCATCCTGTTGTATAGAGGCTAGGCTTTCAGTTGAGCGGAACTACAACTCCTATCATTCCTGGCCTGCACTGCCACTCACCTGCATGCTGGCTGGGAGTGATGAGCTGCTACTATGACAACCTCATCATCAGCAACAAGTTGTTGGAGTCTCAGGGATCGTCAAACTGGGAATAATTCTCAATTGAGTTCTTATGTCTAACTACAACTCCTATCATTCCTGGCCTGCACGGCCACTCTCCTGCAGGCTGGCTGGGGGTGATGAACTGCTACTATAACAACCTCATCATCAGCAACAGGTTGTTGGAGTCTCAGGATGGTCAAACTGGGAATAATTCTCAATTAAGTTCTTATGTCTGTAACTTGTCTGAGCCTCACATAATACGATATCATAAGCACAGTCAAAGGAATGAGAGAATCGGGTACTTAGAAATGGGGAGGATAAAAACGATCATATCATTAAAAGCAATGGAAAGGTCTGAATCTGCTTACAGGTCCGCAGGTGATGTTCAGCAGAGTAGCAAAGATTTCTGCCTTCTTACTTAGTGGCCTGTGGCGCTCTTTTCTTGTCCAGGATGCAACAGCCCTGCTAGAATGGCTCACTGGCCACCCCTCGCAAGGATCTCTTCATTTTCAGACATCATGGTCAGTGCTGAGTAAAAAGCTGCAGCATGGCAACACATGCTGTCGTGGGTGCTAGGGGACTGAAAATGGGGAGCCCCTTCCTATTCACATTTCTGGGGCTCACTGAGTTCAGGTCCAGTAACAGCAGCTGGTTTGGAAGAAGTTGTTGGAGCAGAATTCTCATTGCACAAGGAAAGTGGATTCAGCTGCTAGGATAGATAAGGCAGCCATTGAGGGATAAGGGGATGAAGGAGAGCCAGTGAATCTTGATACAGTGGTAGCTGACATATTAGAGAGTAAGAAGAATAAATAAAATCAGGTACTGGTTTTCAGGTTGTATCTACGTTACAGAAGATAAATTGGTTATTTGATTAGATTTAAAAATACTCTTCTCTAAGTCAGTCATTCTCATGGGGAGCCCTGGCACATTTGAAGGGGGGCATAGACCAGAAACAATTCTTCATCACCTTAGAAAGTTAAGTATTTGACGTAAACCATGCTGATTTTATCTATATTCCTTTCATATGAGATTTAAGGCTGTGGTCAAAAAAAGGTTGAGAATGGCTGCTCTAAATGATCACTTCCTTTTTTAAAAAGGCCTTTTCTGCAACCCCAATATATTATCTAAACAATGCATATACATTAGAATTAATTTACTGTTTATTTATGTAAAATATTTTAATCCCGCCTGTGTCATTAAAAAGGGCCCAAGGCAGCTTGCATCATTAAAAAGACATTTAAGAATTAGGAAAATAAAAAAAACAACAATTTCCAAACAGAGCATAAAAGAATAAAATACTAGCAGAAAGTTTAAAAAACAAGTATGTAATCCACTCGCCAAAGAGGAAAAGAAGTCCATCATTCTGCAGTGTCAAGTAATGCAATGCTTTTAGTGTGGTATTTTAAAAAAAAACCTTGGGAGAATGACTGTGTTTGAAAAAAACATTATTTTGGGTACTCATCTCATGAAGTCTGCTTCCTTTATCTGCCACTTCATGGACTTGTGCGAAGGTCTTGGGGCATCTGTGAATAGGTACAGACGAGTGAAATACAACCAACACTTTGGATGTGGGCCTGGAGACTAACTGGGCAAGCAAGGATTGGCAGAATAGATCCATAATGCTATTAGGGCTTTTGCACGTGGGAAACATTGGCTTAATTTATCCCCAAGCCCTGCAAGATAAGTCCCCCCACCCAGATCCCTTGCAAGAAAGTCTCCCAGCTGGGAGGGGAGTGTGGGCATGTGAACGGGAAATGGGAACACTACGACTTGGACTGTCCCCCCCCCGATGCACCTGATTCTCTGCCACTTGCTTCCTTGTGAGAAAGATCCTAAATGGAGTGTGTTTTGTTCATGCTCATTGTGCTTTCTGATGGCATAGTTTCTGTTGTTGTTGTAATTATTATTATGTGATCTTGTGCGTTTTATCTTGAAAGGGAGGGATGATAAAGATGCTGTACATACTAATGGTTCTTCCCACGGCCTTCATGTGATGTTGCTCCCTGCAGGTGTGATTGGCAGCTCTTAGGGCTGGCTGTATCATTAGGTTGAAGGAGGGTGGTACTTCAGGCAGCAGTTTTAAGAGGGCATGAAAAGGCAATGAATTTTAGCTGCTGTTGCTATTTCGTGCCGTCCTGTCATGTTGCCTCTGATGTATGACAGCCCTATGAATGAGTGATAACCAAAATGTCCTCAACAGCCCTATGAATGAGTGATAACCAAAATGTCCTCAACAGCCGTGCTCGGCTCTTGCAAACTCCTTTAGGGAGACAACCCATCTCATATTGGGTCATCCTTGTTTCCTGTTGCCTTCCACCTTTCCCAGCATTACTGTATTTTCAAGAAAAACTCATCTCATTAATGTGTTTATTACATTTTTATTTATTAGATTTTTATCCTGCCCATTTAGACGACGTCTACTCTGGGTGGCTTACAGTAAAACATCATAAACACAATTAAAACAACAACTTAAATCAATAATATTAGTATTATTCAAGATGGAAAAGTATAAACAGTAAATTAAAATAAAAAGTAAAGTCAGTATTGACAGGAAGGAAGGCCTGCCTAAGGAGCAATTTTTTAATTGGCTCTTAAAAACACCCAGCGAGGGAGCCAGGCAGATCGCTGACGGAAGGCTGTTCCAGAGTCGTTCTCAGTTTCATCATTAAAGTAGGGCAGCCTCAGTTTCATCATTTTTGCCTCCAGAGATAGTTCAGGCTTGATTTGATCAAGGACTCACATGCTCATCTTTGTTAGCTACAGTATTTACTTAGTCATGATTGTGTTTCTCCTGCCAGGGATGTCGGGCTAAAGAATATAGGAGACACAGGTGGGACTTTTTTTCTTCAGGTGCTAAAATGGCCCGACTCCCTTTGGGGGTGTGAGGCACATTTTGCTACATTGCCTCACGGAGCAGAATGATTTGGGCTGGATCTGGCAGATGTGGAGGCAATAAAGACCTATGATAGTCAAGTGTCAAGTCACAATGGCTGAGCTTACCTCTGCCCTGTACTTAATCGCAGTCACAGACCATGATAAGATTCTGCCGTCCTCTTTCTTAACTGTGTCCCAGATTGTAATGCCAGCAGGACCTGTTTCGTTTATGAGAGGCGACTCTTATTTACATTGTTCTGGGCCATTATCTCCCCAGCTTCACTCTGGATTGTGTTCCTTCATTGTAGTTTCCAGAGACGAAAGAAATGGAATGGGCTAGGTTATGTACGGTACATGACGTCCCATTTTCATTTACAGAGTTGACTGCTCTGTTGTATGCTTTGACTTGACTGCACTCGGTTTTGCTCTGAACAGTTATTTATTTATTGAGGTATTTATGTCTCGCCCTATAACCCAGGATCTTAGGATGCTTGGTGCACTTCTGCACCAAGGAGCTAGACTGTAGAAAAAATCTTTTAAGCTAGTCTTCCTCTCCCTTGTGGGCAAATTTTGCTGGCGAAGGAGGACAATGTGAATTGTAGTACACCACATCTAGAAGGCAGCAGGTCAAGAAGGCTGGTTTAAGGAGAAAAACTGATCACAGCATGGCACAAAGAGCAAGGGTGGGCTGATTCTGATTCTCTCTCCTCCTCCTCTGTCTGCTTTATGTAAGTTACAGGTGGGATGTTTTTAGCTCACTGAGAACCTTCTCCCCAACCAACCCCCAGCCTGCAATCTTCTTCAATCTGGGAAGTACGTACGTAATTGCCAGGGACTGAGCTCTTGCGTATAGCTTGGGAAGGTGTTGCCTTGGGGTTTACTTCTGAGTTGTCACACAAAGGATTGAACTGTGCTTCGTATGCTTAGTGAGAACAGGTCCATTTGCAAACTGCATCTGGACCCATCCGATGTCCTGAGCAACACCACAGGGCAGCTTCTGCCACCTTACCTAGATCTGAATTTAGCTCCTGGGCTGTGAAATGTTCTACGCCTCTGGTAGGAAGAGTATATTGGCCCACCTCTGCTTTATCTGCGAGCAAAGCTGGATGCACCCATGCCTCTGAGCAGGTGTGTCGTCTTTTAACTTAGCCCCTACTGTGGTTAGCTGCATATGTTCAGTCCCTCGGAGAGAGGTATAAGCTTCCTCCACCTGCAGGAATTGCAGGCTCAGTTTGAAACGCTGGTATTTTCTTTTCAGGTTCAGCACTGGAATAGTGCCTTCCTCATAGGAGCCTCTCTGATCAGATAGGAAACTCCAGTGTGTGTGTGTGTGTGTGTTTGTGGCAGAACTGTGCCCTGAATTATCTGTGTCGGCAAAGAATTACCGGTTTTCAACCCATTCTCAAAGTGGTAAGCTGAGTGAGTTTGCCTCAGCAGGTACAACAAACACCAAATAAGAACAAGTATTATAATCTCTTTAAAGTCATTGCAGTCCGAGCTACAGCGTTGACACAGTAAGCCAATTGAGGTCTAAAAATTGAAAGGTATGCTCCGTGCTCAACAACTTGTGACTGACATAACACTTTTCCCCTACTTAAAAATGGACCTGTGGGGAGAGCGTTCAAGATTTCTGAATCTCATGAAGGCTGTATAGTTCATCTTCTTTATAACCATGCTCCACTCTGCTTGGTATGCAGTTCTGTAAGAACTGGGGAGGGTGGAAGGGGGAAATCAAGTCTCTGGAAAGTCTCTTGTTACATGCATTTGGTGTGTTGATGTATAAGAAGAGGTCACCTCCCAGCTTCCCTTACTCCTTGTACTGCAATTGGCATGGCAGTCTCCAAAAAGCCTTGTGAATGAAAGGAGGCAGAGACCAGCACAAACGAAAATGTAGACCCCTGGTGCCGCTATTATCCCTATAAACAGCAGGGCAGTATCCTCAGCAACAGCGCTAACTTGATATGAAAGCAGTTATTTATGGCGAGCAGTCCTGTCAGTACCATCCGGAGAGCTTTCAAAATTCCCATGAGGCTCAGACAAAGCCAATTAAAGTCCGTGGGCCTTTGTGAATTAGGATGAGCTTGACTGGCGGTTGATTGTGGCAGGCCTGGCCGGCCATTGGGAGTCTCGGGGTGCAGCTTCTCTCCCTTGTTCTGGCTCTTCCTTCCTCTGCATCTGCTAGGCTGCTTTTATCTCATCCACGGAAGGCTAGCAACCAGAAACTTGGGGGGGTGAAAATTCTCAGGGCTTTGCGGCACCAGCTGTCACCACTTTGGGGTGACATTTTTTTTTGTAAAGAGCCAAAGAAAAAGTTATCTTTAGCGTGCAGGCATGTGGGGAGCTGGAACCATCTGGATATTAGTGAAACAGAAGTTCACAGGCCTCTGTCTTTTGGTTAGTGTGAGCAGTGCTAGAAAAGTATGTCCCCCCCCTCTGTGTATTTCAATTCCCAGTGTTGTCCACTCATGTTGGCATGGGAATTTGGGGGGCTGTAGGCCAAAACAGGAATTTGTCCAAGCTCTGAGTGCGAAGCTATGGACGAGGTCCCTATACAAGGAGAGAGATTAGTGCTTACTTCCCCTTTCCCCTCCAGAGACATTGAAATTGGTATGGTAGGTGTTGTTACTTATGCCATTTGTACACATTTCTGTTCTGACTCAATGATATTGTCGTCTAGGTATACAATGCTGATGGATGGGATTTTTTGAAAGGACTGTTTAAGAAATAAACCCGAAATACCTGTTTGAGCAAAGCTGAGGCCGTAAGGTCAAGCATGAATGTATAACAAAGGTTATGTTGGTTGACTCTTGCTTCTTGGATGCTTTCTTGAAGTTTTACACCTGTTTTCCTTCCCTGGAGCCTACTGCATCTAAGAGCTGCATAAGGAGCCTCTGCAGAAATAGGCAAAGGACACATCGTAGCTGTGTGTCTTAACCAAGTCCTGTAAAAATGACTTTTTTGGCTGACAAGTGCCAGAATCCCCAGTCAACAGAATCTGGAGAAGATGACTTTTTATTTTACTACAAGTCTTGGATGGCTAGCATAGTCACTGTGAGAGGTAGTAACAACAACAACTTTTCCAAATTCTGGTCTTGACAAATATATGTAAAATGTTTTATGCATATATGTAAAACAAATAATATGTGAAGCTGACTGTTGGGCCAGAGACTTTTAAGCTCAGACCACACAGAAAGCTTGGGTTTTGCACCATGCAGGATACTGATAGAAATGGTTACAGATTTTTTTGCAGTATCTTAACTGTTGGTCCTCTTTCTCTTCCCCCCCTCAACAGAAATCAGCCGCAGCCTCCTGCCGCGTCCCCGTCGCCTCCTCCTTTTGCTGAACCCTTTTGGGGGCAAAGGCAATGCCTTGCAGTGGTGCCAGAATCACATCCTGCCGATGATCACAGAGGCCGAGGTCAGCTTCAACTTGATCCAGACAGGTGAGGCTGGCGCACTTTGAGGCCATGACTGGCGGGGTTGTATGGAGATACAGGGAGGGAGGTGAGAGCCCCAATTGGGTGGGTGTGGGGCTGCGTGTGAGGGGTGCGTAGATGGCAGCAGGAGGGGATTTGAGACAAATTCCTGGAAGGATAGTTTTGCCTGCAGGTATGAGCCAAGCTAGCTGAACCTAAATATTAGAGGCTGGAAACATATAGGGTGCATTCACATATTGAAATAAACCATGGTTCATTGCTTAAACACAGATGACCATGTACCTGTTGGAGGTGCCTGCGTTCAACCCAGCTTACACTAAAGATGATGTGTGTCCTTGCATGAAGGGAAGCAGATAGAGAGAGCTCCTCAGGTTTCCTAGGCTGTCCTCTACCTGGTCTGAAATATGCTGACCTCGTTTCCACTTAGACTGATGTTGCTCCAGTTGCTGATGTCATTTCTCTTCTTCCATTTTGACCCTCTTTGGGTCTCTTGCCTTCATTCCCAAGAGATGAGGGGGCAATCGGGGCCTCTTCCACCTTAATAATTATGTACCATCTAATCAATTCTGATGTATAGTTCTGTTGCCAGATGGGTGCCTAAGGGAACAAGCCACAAAGAAGCCATAGTTTGAGGTTCAGATTATATTTTGAATAAGTTAGACTTGATGAGAAGTCCTGGATTCCAGTTTCAGTTTGTGGCTGGTTAATACATCACAGTTTGTTAGATGAAGCAGGTTCGCATATCACAACAAATGAGATGTTGACCAACCATCCCATGGCTTGTGGTGATGCACAAATGTGTCGTATTTTGTTTTTGTGCTTGGCTTGGAGCATTTCCAGAATCTTTTTAACTTAGTCAGTATTGGAACCAGTTGCTGGCTGCTGGATATGAAAGATGTTTGGATTGATTGTACTTGGATCTTCTTACCTGTCTTTTAATTAGAATGAAGCGCAAATTAAAACTTGAGACACAGCAGTATTTGGAAACAGCAGCTTCTGCAAACTGTACTGGCTTGCCAAGAGCAATGGGCACATGCCCTGTAAGCCTTGAGGTTTCCAGGCTGAACTGTTTCCCAAGTGCTAACGTTCAACTGCAAAAATAAAATCACTGAGATACAGCAACAAAGAGTCTTTTGAAATCTTATTTATTTATTTACAAATATAAGCAGCACACTTTGCTTTTTTGAAAACTTACTTATTTATTTATTTAAATTTTTTTACCCCACCTTTCTTCTTAAAAGTAGCCTAAGGTGGCTTACATCATTAAAAACCACAATATTGATTTTTACCCCACCTTTCTTCTTAAAAGGGGCCCATGGTGGCTTACATCCTTAAAAACCACAATATTAAAAGCTAAATACAGTAGATTATTCAAATCTGCGTAGATGGCAGAATAAAGATTATATTAAATATGTCCCCATTAAATATGTTAGGTTAAAGCATTACTAAAACAGATTTAAAAGCATCAAAGAACACAGACCATCTTAATTTGAAATCTCTCCTAGACTGTTTGTGACTAAAGAAAAGCTTACCAGAAAAGAGAGGTCTTCACTTATTTGTGGAAGGACAGCAAAGATGGGGACAGCCTGGCTTCCCATGGGAAGGAATCCCAAAGTCTGGGAGCAGCCACAGAGAAGGCCCTCTCCCGTGTCCCCACCAAGCACACCTGTAAAGGTGGTGGGGCTGAGAGAAAGGCCTCCCCTGAGCATCTTAACACCCAGGCAGTATCACACAGGGAGATGGAGTCCTTGAGATAGCTTGGACCCAAGACGTTTAGATCTGTATAGGTTAAAAACAATGTTTTAACCTTCAAGGCTAAGAAGTTTTATTTAGCATAAGCTAAGCTTTTATGAACTACAGGACTGCAGTTTCCAAGAGCCCCAGCCTGTATAAGTCATTTTTCTGGATGACAGCTCTTCCAGTTCCCCTGGGTTGTTTCTTCTTATGGTGGAGGAGGATATCATGAATAGGGACTCTCATGTGGCCTTTCCTCCCTGCCCCCCCTGGGTTTTCTCAGAAATATTAGTAGCCTTACTTATGTATCTGAGAGCCAGGTCTATAAACCTCCATCCTTATTTAGATGACCTCCTTATTTGGCCAGAAATGAAAATACAAGGGAAAAGGATGCATAAATCATTTCATATAAATTGTGGGCACATGGTTTTCTGATGAAGCATAGGAAGATCCACCTCTCCCCACTGCTGAATGTAATATTCTTGGAATTATAGTTCTTAAAAAGCCACCACGCCATAATTTGTCCAAGTACCTCTCCCCACTGCTGAATGTAATATTCTGGGAATTATAGTTCTTAAAAAGCCATAATTTGTCCAAGCTTTGATGAAAGCATATGCCAAATAAACCTGGTGGTTATTGAAATTTGACCAAATGTGTCCTTTTTTTGCTATAGCAGTTGACCACACTCTTAAGATAGTCATTCCTTGATTTCATGTGCCTCCTAATAATCATTTGATGATCAAACATGGTAGGCTTGGATTGTTTTTAGGTCACCATGCATCCAAGCCATTTCTTGGAATTGCACCTGCACTGGAACTTAACTTAACTTTATGTCTACTGCAGAGAGACAGAACCACGCCCGGGAGCTTGTACAGAGCATCAGCCTAGCTGAGTGGGATGGCATCGTGGCTATTTCAGGAGACGGTCTTCTGTATGAGGTATTGTTTACGGGGGGAAAAATTGGCCAAGACCTGGAGGTTCTAGCCTTCTTGAACATTCCAAAAACTACTTCCAAGGAGCTGTTGCGTGTTGGATGGCTTCTAAGTTGCCCTGCCTTCATCCTTCACATCTGAAGCACCCCAAGTGGCTTTCCTCATAGAATGACTTCTGCTGTAGACCTGTTGCAAGAGCATAAAATCAAGGCCAGCCAAAGACATGTTCCTCCTTGAGGCAGAGCATGAAATGTCAGCCCACACTTGTGCAAATCAAGCCACATTGTATCTCTAGCTAGCCAGATTATTTTTGCCTTTGAAACAGAAAAGTCCACAAGTATTTCAGGAACAAAATCATCCTGGGAACAAAATAATTAACCTGTTGTTGCCTTTTCTTGATACCCAAAATAGGCTCCTTCAGTTAGCTGTGCCACTCTCACAAACAGTAGGGCCATCTCTGGCATAGCCTTATTTCACCCTGTCCTTCCTGTTTTGTTTCACAGTTCTCTTGAGAAGACTGGAAATGAGCTCTAGAAGGATTGTTTGGAAAAGGTATCTTAACCAGCGGCTGTGCTGGCTGGGAGAACCTGGAAGATCGAATTGAAAACAATTAAAGCAAAATCAAATTTTTTCATGGCCTGCCTAGAACACATAATTCCCTCTAAGCTCTATGTTGCAGGAGATGTTTAGTAGCAGTAGACTTTGAAAAATGTCATCTGTGTACCCATTTCTTCTACAAGAAACACTTTGAAACTTGGGTTTAACTAGGGTGCTGCTTCTCCACCTGTTCCTTGGGGCTCAGGTCTCCTTGCTTTTCATATCGAGACATGAAGATTATGAACATTTATCTATCTCTTATTCATTTCTAGGTTATCAACGGTTTGATGGAACGGCCAGACTGGGAAGAAGCCATCAAAATGCCCCTTGGGATTCTCCCCTGTGGTTCTGGAAATGCAGTGGCTGCAGCCGTTAACTTGAATGCAGGGTAAGGCCGAATGAAAAGCCTAGGCTGTTTGAGTGTCCAGTATGGCAATCGGAGTGTGATGTTTTTACCAGGTTTTCCCTCATGGCCCAAAGTAGAAATTGCAATCTGTTTTGAGGATCCCTGCCTGCCTGTGCAACAGGATGCCATGCAAGAGAACCAGTGAGCATGCACAAAGTGTCTCCTTGCTCACCTGTGATAGAATATGCTCTTTCAAAATTCAGCTGCACAGTTACCAGGAACAGATCTTGGAAAAGTTATTTTTTTTGGATTGTCGTACTCTATGGCCATGTTGGTTGGGAAATTCTGAAAGCTATAGTCCTCCCCCACCCCCAAATAAATAAATACAATAAAAAAAAATTTAAAGTGATTTTTAATTTTATTTTTATTTATTTATTTATTTTGCCTTCAAGTGTAGTGTGATTCTCTTAATATGAATGGCTGCGTTTCTAGTTGTGCAATTTGGGAGGGTTGTTCAGCCTGTCCTACAATGAGTTGTTTCAAATAATTATTATTCATCATCATTTATTAGATTCTCTTTTTGCCCGTCTGCCAAATAGGTAAGGGCAACAGACTTTTTTTTCCCCACTCCACCCATTTCATCATTGCAACACCTCCTGGGTGGCAGTTCTGGCTGGGAGAATTAACTGATCCAGGGTTGTCTGGGTCAGCTTCGTAGCTCAGTGGGAGATTAGGACCCGCATCTCCCAAAAGCAAGTCCTGCCCCCCCCCAACCTAACTGTTAAGCTACCCAGCCTGCTTTAACTGCGGCTGCGACCGCCGCTTTGTGTGTGACAGTGGGGCTAATAGAAAGCTTTGAAGGATACATGTAGGACAGAGAGACAGCATCCATGGGGCAGGGAGAGAGAGCAAGTAGCTGGGCTAATACTTTTGGAGTCAACTGGCATGTGTGTAACTATTGTTGTGCAGGTAAATGGCCTCTGTATCCTACACTGTATCTTTCAAGGCTCCCAGTCCCAAAACCCTTTGATAGGACATTTAAGCCAGATTCCTTTGTTCTGATGGTTTTTTTGTTTGTTTGTTTGTTTGTTTTGGGGACTCTTGGGCAGATTTGAGCAGACTTTGGGCCAGGAGCTGCTGACCAGCTGCACTCTCCTGCTATGCCACGGAGCCGTCTCCCCCTTGGACCTGGTTTCAGTCACCACCTTGTCGGGTTCTCGTTCCTTCTCCTTCCTGAGTGTAGCCTGGGGCTTCATCTCTGACGTGGACATTGAAAGCGAGAAGTACCGGCACATGGGATCAGCCCGGTTCACTTTGGGAACCATGGTCCGCCTCGCCTCCCTGAACACATACCGGGGGCGCCTCTCTTTCCTTCCCGCTCCAGACTGCGCTGGCCACCGGCCCATCTTGCGCAGCATCACTATGGCGTCCAACGGGAGCCTCCCTTTCCAGCGGACCCCTCTGCACCGTACGGTTTCCGACATGGGCCTCTGCGAGGAACGGCGTACCTTTTGTTACCGAGGGCTGGATCCTGGTGATGAAACCACCCCCTCGCCCAGCTCCCCGCCTTCTTCCTCCAGCTTTCCTGCCCCCAGCTTCAGCTTTGAAACTCTCTCGGAAAACCTGATGGCAGATGGCAAGGATTCCCGGGAGGGCAAACTGGCCCTGCCCTCCCCTGCAGTCTCACCTACAACTCGTCAAATGCGCGGCCCTCCGGATAACTTTCTGGTGCCCCTCGACCAGCCGGTGCCCAAGTCATGGGTGACAGTGGAGGATGATTTTGTGTTGGTATTGGCCATCTACCAGACTCACTTGGGGGCTGACCTCTATACTGCCCCCTTTGCCTACTTCAACGATGGCCTCATCCACCTTGCCTATGTCAAAGCGGGCATCTCGCGGGCTGCCCTGATCCGCCTCTTCTTGGCCATGGAGAAGGGTACCCACTTTGAGCAAGCGTGCCCCCATGTCACCTGCATCCCCGTCCGGGCTTTCCGTATTGAGCCACTGACCCAGAAGGGCATAATCACTGTTGATGGAGAGCGGGTGGAGTATGGACCCATTCAGGGACAGATCCACCACGGGGTGGCCAACTTAATCACTGGCATCAACCCAGTTAAGATTTCAAAATTCTGAGCCAGTTTCCAGGCCCATCTCCCTTGCAGGGACATGTAGGAGATCAGCTCTGATTTGCCTTCTCTTTTAGAGAAAGGGGTAAGGGTGGCGTGGCATGACATGACGGTGAGAAATAATTTCTGACTTGCGATGCCCCCTCCTGCCACTAGAGGGCAAGCTGTGGAAAAACCACCTTGCAGGGGATGGGGGTTGCCCTGTGAGCGCACATGGCATTAATCCCCTTCATGAGCTTAAGGTAACTCATCTTGGCTACTTTTCCTTCTTGCCCATAATCTTTGCTACTCTCCAAGCAATGCATCGTTTGGAAGGTGTCCTGCCTTCATAGATCTCACATCTGTAAGCCCAGTTCTTGTATTTCTCCTCAAGAAAGAGGAAATGGCCTCTGGGGAAGCTGTTGCATGGACTTGGGGGAGTAGAAATGGGTTATTTATCCACCCATCTCCACTTTGCCTACAAGGGGAGAGTTCACCTGAACATTCCAGTCTGTCCACCTTGTCTTTTCTGAAGTCTGGTCTGGCAGGTCTTTCAATTCCACTTTTCCAATCATTCAGTTTTACTGCAGTCTTTGGGGTGAGTTGGGGAGCAGCAAGATCAACACATACCAGCCTCCAGCCCACTCCAGCACATGGATCAGTATCTTTACAGAATACCCAGCCAGGCTTTCCTAATCTGATTCCCCTTAGGTAGGTTGGACTTGTAGTCCCATCTTCCCCTGCCCACAGAGCCACTGTCCCAGCTCGACGCCTTCCTGATATATTGGATTACCTCGCCATTATCCCCAGTTAGCATCAAAAAAGTGCCGGATGGGGGAAAGCTTCCCAGAATAATCCTTTTTGTTTCAGGATAGGAACAGTGGTCATGCGGGTGAGCAAGTTCAGCAGGGCAGGGAGAAGCCACAGGGAGCACCTTGGAACGGGACCCGCCTTCTTTGGCTTTTCTTTCAGTCCATGGGACCAACCGTTTCCTTGCTTTCTACTCCCCAGTTTCTAGTGGTTTGGAAGGTTGTGCCCTGCCTTGACACTTCCCAGACACCCTTCTTGGGCTGAGTGAGGGCTCTCCGGCCTCTGTAATCCGAGCATCACACACTCTCGTCACATTCTGCCCATGAGAGCAGAAGAACAGGGACCACAGTTAAAGCAATGCAACACTTTGGTTGTTGGTTCTCTGTCCTTCTCCTGTTAACTCAGAAGGCTGTATGTGTGTGTATAGACACACCATAAGTGGGGGACCTATGCCCCCCCCAGATGTTGCTGGGCTACAACTTCTATCTCCTTAATCTGTTGGCTGGCAGGAGTCAAGAGTGGACCAATACCCAAAAGGTTGCAGGTTCTTCACTGCTGGTATAAACAATGAAAAGACAACAACTTTTGAAGCCCAGAATTGGTCTCATGAAGTAGTGCCTGAAAAACTAGCATCCTCTCACTTTGTTTAACTCTGTTTTAAGCTCCCTGACTTAATTGATGCAAGCGGTTTTTACTTTTCTGTCTGTGGAGAAGGGCCATCATGATTTTTTTAAAGTTATGCTTGGTTCTTCTGCCACCCTTCCTGCAAGAGGCGATCAAGGGCATTTAAAGGAAGGAACCCCCCCCCTTTCTTACAGCCTGCAGTGGCTCCTTGTTAGCCTGTCTGGGTTGTTTTGCCACCCTTATGCCAAGGACTGCAATCTGGCTCTTTATAGGAATACACTGGATGAATGTAACTGGATTTTCTTCTGGAAAGGGTTTAATTTTGTTAGGGCAGTTGTTAACGCTATTTTTTTCCCTCTCCACCATGTGGGGGTTAACAAGCAATTAAAGTAATCAAATACTGTGATAACATTCGTGTCTCTATATGAAACAAAGTTTGTGACACACACATTGTCTGTTTTTCTTTAACACCTATTAAGTCAGCAGATCAGTTTGGTCAACTTCCCTGTTGGTCAACTTTTCTCTCATGAGGTAGTACGGCTGATAAATTAGGTTTGGCAACTAGATGGGCCAGTGGGCCAGTCTAGAGCAGAACATAAGTGCCGAGGGCTACCAATTGGCTTGAAGCCCTAGACTCATTATACTTCTTTCTCTTACCTTCATTTTTTTTAAGAAATAGGTTTTTAGTTTCTGCTGAAGAATTAGGAGTAAAATGAGAGAGCAGTGTTTGTATGTTGGTGATGGAAAAGAATAAAAGTCCTGGTGAAGTGTCCATTCTACAAACACCCCCAAATCTGGAAAAGTTGCTTTTCCAACTATGATTTCTAATTTCAACATATCTAATAGTGTTGTCTATGACTTACTCCCTGTTGACTGGAGATTCTGGGAATTGTATTCCCAAAACTCTACTTGGGGGGGGGGATGATTAAGCTGTCATTTTGATAATTGCAAAGCTCTGATTGAGATAACAACAATGTGTTTAGTGAACAGGGAGCTTAACTCCAGAAGTCTCCCTGACTCTGTATCTGGGTTTCTTTACCTGCCAGAAGTTGAAAAAGTGAGGAGAATAGACAGGAAATGTCACAGTCCATGGTTAATGGGCTACATTCACACTGGTGGGTTAACAACACTGTCTGTATTTGTGACTTGCCTCATGACGAGAGTATTTAAGGGATGATGCTGGTCTACATTTGCTGCTTGTTCTGCTCTGAGAAACCACAACGGCTGCTTTAAATAATTGCACTGCATGGTTGAACCTTTGGATTGTCACTTTAACATTAGTTCTGATGCCAAGAAAACATTCTGGAATATTGGGGTAGATATCCAGTTGCTCTTGTTAAAGGTTATCCCTCTGTTAGAGGAGCACTGATTTGTCTTTTTGGACTACAGCCACCTACCCCCTCCACCATTGCGCAGCATTATGCAGCAACCAGAAGATGACATGACGGTAAAATAAAACATACTCTGAAAATAAGCCCTAATGCATTTTTGGAGCAAAAATTAACATAAGACCCTGTCTTATTTTTGGGGAAACACGGTAGTAGAGCCTTCTGGGAGTTGTAGTCCCCAAAACATCTGCATGCCTCCAGTCACTGGTCCAGGGCTCTGGCAGAACAGCTGGAGGCAACCCTGCCTTATTTTGGGGGAAACACGGTAGTAGAGGCTTCTGGGAATTGTAGTCCCAAAAAACATCTGCATGCCTCCAGTCGCAGAACAGCTGGAGGCAGTATTCTCCTTCCTGCCGCAAGACTGAAAATCTGTCGAGAGTTGGTGGTATTAATAGCACAGTGGTGATGGCAGTAGCTTTGGTAGAGTGCTCTTCTGTTGCCAGTTGGGAAACTGAGGTGAGTGGAGGATGCCGCTGTTGCTCTTCCTGGAGTCAATAAAAAAGCTTCACCAAAGCTTCTTTTGGATAACAATTCGCAGAATCCCCCAGCTAGCATAGCTGTTGGCCATGTTCTTCAAACTAGAGGATTGTGACCAAAATTTTTTTCCCCCATGTTCTGTAATGAGACCCCTCTTGAATTGCAGGCCATAGTAGGTGTTCAGTGAACCTTTGACCTTGATGACACTGCTTATCAATGAGCCAGTGCATGCGCATGGTGAAAACCCACCATACCCATGTGAATAGCCTTTGATAGATGCTCTTACTCCCACAGCTAATGTTTGAGAGCGCTTTCTGCAGTGGTGGGACAGGAGACTAGCAAAGAGGAAATTGGTTTTATCTGGATTAAGGCTTGTACTTAGAAACCTTTGAGGACTGACATGAAATGTTTGCCCTCATTCTCTTGGAGACCATCAGATCCCATGATAGAGTAACAGCATTGCAGAAATACTGGATATCTTTTCTCCAAGCAATAATGTATACAGTTTGGTATTTACATATGTATGTTGGGGGGGGGATATAATATGAATAATGCATACACATGCAATTACTGGGTTGTTTATTGCTCTTAATTTATTCTGGAGCCTGTAGAATTGCTGCTTTAATTTTTTCCTAAGGCATATGCATACATCTGTGCTTGGGTAGTAAAAATTTGCTCTGACTGACTAAAGACTATTCTAGAGGTTTAAAAGGTGGGGGGGATTTTCCCCACCACTGCTTGCCTTAGAGACCCTCTCCCACCTCGGCCTCGTCCCCTTCACTGTTTTTCATCTTCCTGACTGTGTGGGAATGCTTAGATTAGCGTGAAGGAGACTAGCAGACAACGCTACAGTTCGTCAAATGGGACCTGGTCCACATTTTTGTTTGCTGAGAATTCTGTTTAATTTTTGTATTTTAAAAAGAAAAGAAAAACAAGATGTGGCAAAGAGATCCTTTTTCCTGTGAGGGCCATATTTCCTCAGACGTCCACGTGCCAGCAGTTGGTGGGTCTAAAGCCTAAGGTTTGAATTGGGTTGAGCAAAACTGTGGAGGGTCTCAATCTCTCTCTCTCTCTCTCTCTGAAACCCTGTTTTTTCCCTCTTTTTCCCTTGCACTCCTGACTTACACTCCTCCTCGCCCATCTCATACCCCCTCCTTCTGTAACATTCCATGTTTCATCCCCCCCATCTCTTTTCTTTCTCAAACATTGCTTTCTGCCCTCTAGCCTGTGGGCCAAAACTGGCCCACAAAGGTTCCCCGTTTATCCCAGGGAGGCCTCCTGGCAAAAGTCCTGTCCTACGTCTTGCGTATAGAGGCCATTTTAAAGGGGGGGAAAATCTCTTATCCTTGATCACTGATGGGAGACAACAGAGATTCCTTTCTTTCTGTTCCATGTGGAAGAAGCAAGAGGAGGAACGGCAAAGCTGGGTTCATGGCCAAGGAGCTTTTGGTGTGGACTCAGTGACTCCAGCGTGGCCATACTCTGTTAGGTTCTCTCGCCCACAGGAGGTGCTGATCTGCACCCCTGCCTGTTTTTGATTCCTCTTGCACAGTCTCTAAAAATGATGGCAAAAGGTTTTTGAAATTAGTCCAGAAAGACAGATGGGCTCACCCTTGTTCTGCACCCCTGTGATTTATTGAAAGTCTGGCAGGGAGAGAGATTCCAGAAGTTGCAGCCCAGGTAACATAACATCTCCACACTTCACAAATTACATTAGTAGGTGATTACTGACCAATCACTTTCCCGCAACCTGGCCTAGAGTAGCTGTGAAAATTTAAAAACAGAAAGATGCAATCATCAACATTGCCTTGAAGAAAGATTAGGATTAAAATGTAATAAATAATTAGGAGTGGGAAAATGTAGTCGCCTTCCCCTCTCCCCCACAATTTTTCTTTTCTGTTTTTGTAATTATTTGGGATCTCTATCATCCATGTCCTCAACCAAAAAGCATTACATGAAAAAGTCTTACATCCACATGTAATCCAGGTATGGAAGACATGCCCTTGGCTAGTGTTGGGCCTCAAAGATAGTTCATGCCTCTTAAGGGAGAAATCCTGTAATTTCTGATAGATACTGCTAGTATCTTAATAGGCCATTCTTGGGCAAGGTTCTGAATGTAGTGGTGACTTCTCCAGGCAACGAAACAAGAGTCTTTCGATCCATCATTTTCATATCTTGTCATGGAAAGGCTCCTGGTTTTCCTAATGGAAAGGTGGCAAATCTTCAGCACTCCAGATGTTTTGGACTACAGTCCCCACAGTATTTTATCATTGGAAGGACATCCTGGGGATTCTGGGGGTTGTAGTCCAAAACATCCAGAATACGAAAGGTTCACCACTGTATGCCTGGTGCTGTGAGATGTTTTGAGAGGAATTATTCCCTTTCTTAGCCACCTTTAACATCATGGCTCCAGAGCTTAGAAAACATTACTTTTTTTTTACTGCAGTTCCCCAAATCCCCTAGCCAGTAGGAGATTCTGGAAACAACCAGCAAGCTTTTCATTGACTGTAATATCCTTCTGAGTTAAAGCAATTGGGCTGGGCACAAGAAACATGGTGTTACAGCAATTTCTGCCCCTCCGGGAACAATGCCTTGGAAGATCATGCGAGGGAAATTTTGATTCCACTCCATTGGCATGTATATAGCAGAGATAGCCAAGCTGTTGCCCTCTGCATGTCTGTCAGCTCGGTGAAGTATGATAAGAGTGGCAGACCAGCAATAGCTGGAGGTCCACCAGTTGCCTATTGGCTTGCCTGGAATGTGCCACAAAGTCCTATGCTATCTAATGGCTGCCTGATGAAACTACTTAGGGAAGTCAGCCATTGGTTTTGGGAAGTCATCAGATGGCAGATGATACTCGGATCCACCTCACAGCTCCAGTTCACATTGCCCCCTGAATTGTCCAGACTGCTGTGGAACTCGTGAACTGGTGCCTAGAGGGAGGTTGGGGTGTTTGTAAAGGTGAGCAAAGTGAAACTTGATGTAGACAAAAAGTTGATATTTACTGGCAGGGATATATAAAATCAAAAGCTCTGGAGGGAGGTTTACATTTGATCCCTGATTAAGTTTCTGTACATATCAAGTGACACAGACAGGCAGTTTCTTTTATTTACCATTTATGTTGACTGGTCTGCCTGCTATAGCCTGGTTCTATCTGGAGTGATCTGGTTTTGCTACAGTTATCAATAATCCATGCTACAGTGTGAGCCCCTCCAGTGTTTTTAAATATGGAATCCTTTATGATCACTTCCCTTAAGTATCTTGTTTAATGCTGGTGGGAGCTGCAGACCACTGCAGACATGGAGGGCTTTAGGCACATCCAAAGTAGACTAACTAGACTACTGTATTACATGGGGCTGCCATTGTGCTGCAGGGTCAGAAGACCAGCAGTCGTAAGATCGAATCCACGTGACAGAGTGAGTTCCCATCGCTTTGTCCCAGCTCCTTGCCAACCTAGCATTTCGAAAGCATTCAAATGCGAGTAGATAAATAGGTACCACCTCAGTGGGAAGGTAAAACGGCGTTCCCTAGTCACGCTGGC